CCTTGAGCATTTGACTGTCAAGTGGATTTGGCGCCTTATAAATCATATGTATTATTATTATTATTATTATTATTCTTGTCCTTCCCTTTGATCCATAGCTTTCGTAAATTTGAATAGAATTATGTGTAGCTAGGCCACTTATCAGAACATAAGAGAGACTTGGGGAGACTGATGTGACGGCTTACTTCGAATCATCGCAACCATCCCACCCGACGCGATGACCCGACCTTTTGTAAAAACTTGTCATGCATGTGGGGTAAATGTTTGTGAAATAAACTCTCTCATCTAAAAATGTGATAAACTCTAATACAACTAATTTGATATCCCACGAAAAACACAATTTGTACGAGATAATGGCAATCTGAATGTGAAGCATTGGTTTAATCAGTATCAATGAATGGGTTTATGTTAGTTACCACTGAATATTTTGCTATCCTTTTGTAAAATTCTATTTCGTAAGAAACGAGATTATGGCTATTCCTATGTCTGAATTTGATGACAGTGCCATGATGACAACCATATACATGTAGTATGCCACGTGTTGCCGTGTTCATTATCGCTGTTATCGTGTACAAAACATGTTAACAAAAGTGTAGCAAGCAGGCAAATCACTTTTTGTTTAAACATGCATACACATTTTCATCATCTTTATCATGATGTATACTACATACATCCAATGGGCCTTAGCGTGGGTAGAGATATCCTGATCATGCACAATACAGTATTATTTATGACATGTAGGAGATTCTAATTTAGTAAAACGTTCTACCTTTATTTTTCTTATCATCTATGCTCACATTTCTTGCAGGCCATTTATATTCTGAAAAGGGGCACTTATAATGAGGTGATCACACTGCCTGTGCACACAGTCTGCCCCGCGAACACACACACAGAACAGCAGTCAGTTGGTAGAAATTGCAATTTTTGTAAATTTATTTTAAAAAAACTAAACAATATTTTTTAAATGTTATTTTACATATATTTCAAGCATACCTTTAACTAAAATTCTGTGTAGTTTCATTGTTATAGGCATGTGGGATATATGTTAAATTATTTAATCAGAGTATCGTCTTTTCAGCCGTGTGTGACATGGCTCGCTGATCGCCCATTGACTCGCACTGCTATTCTGCGTGGTGAAAATGCACCTCGATGTATAAAACTTCCCTACAAAAATGCAATATCCTCATGTGTTTCACTCATTAAATCAATTTGTTATTTACTCTCAATGTAGCCACAACTGTACTGGGGTCACCAAACTTTTTGGTACTCTGAAATTCAGTCCCTGTGGAATGTTATGGCCTGTTGAATGGTTTCTCGGAAAATCGTCATAAATTCTCAAATCTGACATCTTTTAAATAGCCAAATACACTGTGATGTAGCTGAAAGTCTACAAATTCTTATCATTATGATCGGTTTTTCTGAATAATTTGTGATACACATGATGAAATAGCTGTGACGGTGATCCAAATAATTTCCATCACCATATTTTATTGGCATCGCAAAAATATTTGGAATTTAAGGTTAATATTTGGTGTAAATATGATCTATGAATATATTATTAAAAAATGCCCCCAAAATAAACAGTTTGACATTCCTAAATTGCATGAGTGCGCGAATATATAATTAGCTGAAATGACCTAATTTGCATACTTGATGAATATTCATGATTTTGTTTTCTTTTTCAAATGAATTATATTTCCATACCTGTCTGATATACATAGGTTTCACTGATGTATCATGTTCGGTTTTGATTTGATTACATATGCGCATATTAATTAGGCGGACTTAGTTATTTTCACAACTTTTTCATATCTGCAGATTCGCAAAAATGGCGAAAATGACTTATTTTGTTGGCTTCTGTTTTCAAAACGGTAATAGATATATGAATTTTCTTTTTTGTATTTTTACCACAAAGATGATATTTTAGTGTCTGATAATTTAATTTATTATTTGTGTCCAAGAAAGCGATAAATTAATTTGTCAACTTTGTCGAATTTTGCCATTTTGCCTATCTGACCATCATTCTGGCAGGTTTTTCGGTAATTTTACGATTTCAAAAAAATGGTATAAAATCACAACGCATTGACCGATTTCAATTCTGTTTTTTGGTTTTTTGAAGCTTTCATAAAGCTTGATCATTTGCAATCATTAAATAACATTTGTTTGTTGTACTTATTTTTGGTGTACTATACCTACTTATAAGAAGGAAAAAGGGACACTTATTGGAAAGGAAAAGGGGCACTTGTCAAAGTAAATTGATATTCATATAAAGGGCACTTCTCAAAATTAAAAATGAGCACTTATTAGAAGTTTTTGAAAAATAAGATATTTCCGACGTAAAAATGGGCACTGTGCCAATGTTTAAAAAAAAGAAGGGGGGGGGGGCTTTCTTGAGGGCTTTCAAAAAAAGAGCGGGGCCACTGCGAGTTAAAGAGAGACTAAACGAAAATGTGTACTTCCTCCTGTATACGATTCAAAACTCTATCGAGTTAAATAAGCTTGAATACATTTTGAAATTCCATATAAATTGGCATCATTTCCTACTCCATCTTTGCTCTATAATGTGCATTTATAAGTACCGCTCCCCACCCGCTCCCTCCACCCTCGCTTCTTTTTCTCTCTATATCTCTTAATAATGTATATATATAAACATATATCTTTCGTCCATTTTCTCTCTCTCTCTCTCTATCTATCTATCCATCTATCTACCATTTACTCTCTGTAAAAGAGTCCTTTTCCGCAAACTCGCACAGCCCCCCTCCCCCTCTCTCTCTCCCTCTCTCTCTAAATATGCTCACCATAACACAACTGAACGTCTCAAAAATGATAAAGCACAAGTCTGACTTGTTAGAAAATGTAATGCTGGAAAATAATTTCTGTACTGTATATTTAGTAAATATAAATTCTATGATATCTGAATATCTCAAAACCTTTTTACACATTTTAGTTTTATAATAACAAGTCAAAAATTCAACATCCTGTATTTATTGCTGTTGTTGGTTTTCTTAGATAAATCTAAAATTTTTATTTTATGAACTTATATCGTTTAGTTCGTCAACAAAGATTTCCGTATAACTATGTCTGAAATATTTAACAAGGAAATACGTTATACAAACTAAATATCTTTTGTGTTCTCGTATGCATCAAAGGCATCCCTCGAGAAAAAAAAATAGTTTAGCGTTTGCTGTTACAATACATACTGTACTGCAAAAGGAGATAATACTTATTTTCCTTTTTGGGTATGATTTAAAAAATTGATAACATCATCCTCCGTGGTTGCTTAAAGCTCATTCCATTACCTATCTTTTCCTCATCGGTCCTAAGGGCCAGAATGATGCAACTAAAGGTAATGTATTCAAATTGCGAGTTATATCACATACATGTATAAGTTATTATCTTCTTACGTATACTGAATTCGTATTCTATAATATCGGCTAAGAGCATTTATATCAACTTTCTACCATTAAAAAAAAAAAATAGAACACATGATAATAAATGAATTTCTCTTTATACAAGTGAAAATGAAGTAATGACATAATCTATTTTCGATATTCAAGTGATAATGTTGAAAGTGAAAGTTACAATTACTGAGTATAGGAAAATATTCCAGCCTATTCTGAGTTCTGGTGGTAAGTCTACATTTTGAGAAAAAATAGCTTGAAATAGACATAAATTGTTCATCATGCCAAAGAATTAAAAGTATTAAATTGTTAGTGGTTACTTTTCATGTGTGTGTGTTTGATTTTGTTTTTTTGTCTGTGGGCTTGGCAAAATGTAAACAAGCGGACGACAATTGCTGACAATCATATTTACTTAAACTATGTGTTCTATTGCCGGACACGCAATCGAGAAAACCTTTTCGATTTTTCTTTTCTTTCTTTCTTTGCTCATTACTCGGATATTGCACACCACCCCTAAACCGAATTCATACAGCAAATAATACAACATACCATCTTTCTTTATTCATGAGATATTCAGCTTAGGTTTTATTTCATTTTTTTTAAACATTATAACTCCACTATTACCACAACACAAAATTACCTCTAAATGAAGCATCATAAAGTAACATTTTCATATCATCAGAAAAATTCTGCAAACCGTGCAAGCAATACGATAAAGATAAAAGATAATCGTGTGAAACGAAATCAGGGGAGAAAACACATTATATTACCCGAGAATTTATTATAGCAATCAATGTTATGTAAACAAGCTGTATTAAAGTAAGTTCTTTGATGCCTGTAGATAGTTTCATTATAATGCACTGAATGTTTTCCAGTTATAAAATCTTTTTTTCTTTTTCTTGAATTACATGTAATTACACTTGCACGTTGAAATTGACAAAAGCGTTACGATCACAAATAATGTACCGGGACTATAGGATGATTGCATGACGCTCGTAATTCGTTATCAATCGATAGAGTTCAAATTTGTAATGCGTGTTCATATTTATTCTGACCCCTTCTGGATAAAAGGCATCTCAAATTGAAAATTGCAAAGACAATTATTGTTAATGATTTAAAATTACTATAGTACTGTACATAGTTTACCATTACAATATCGATATCTATACAAATATATATTGGCCTCCCCTAGACTCCCTAAATCAAAATTCAGGACCCGAATCCAATTCGTAAACATAGTTCTCTAATACAAGCAATAATAAAAGTCGCTATAATAATTAGTATCATGTGATTGTAAGCGCTCGACTGCTTCAAGCATTATTTCCATCAAATGTTAAGTAACTGATTAGGATGTCTACCATGAGTCATATTTACAAAATGCATTAGTGACATACGAAATGAAAACGTATGAAGTTACCTTGGTCATGAACTGCTATAATTCAAATTCAAATTCAAAATTCAAATTTATTCATGTTTCCAACAAAACAGTACAAATCAATTATAAGCATTTAAAACAAATGTAAGAAATACATGTTGGAAACAGAGGGGTCCACTAAAAAGCAATGCTTGTACAAGTGTGAACACCTCAAATGATACTTAGGAATAATGCGTAATTAAATTAACTAATCTGTAACTACAAAAGGAACTACTGCATACTACTGCATACGCCTTCAAAGCTAAAGTCATTCACTCAACCCAAGTTTTATCATTGCAACAACTATCCCCTACTTTACCACATAACTAAAGCCAGGGTAATAATCGGGCCCGGGCAGCACCAGGAGCGTACCAACGTGACGGCCATGTGCGCTATATAAGAATTAAGCCACCTTTTTTATGTTTATTACCATTAATACTTTTCGAATGCACAACAAAATATCATCTATCATATGCTTTGAATATTATTTATCGCCAGTGACGAATTTAAATTGAAATTAAAACATCTTGCTCTTCAGTTATGACTCTAAAATATTGTATTTTGTGTCACCGATAGGAAACTAAATTAATCATGATCTCCATTTTTATGATCTTTATTGAAGAAAAAAATCTCATCAAGCTTTGGTTTTAGAGCTTCCGCCATTAGAAATAGAAGTCGAGTATAGATTATTAGGACTAGATGGAGACATGGAGTGGGTGGTCCGCTGGTGGGTTTGGGATGTTGTTCCTCTCCGTTGGGTGTTGCTTCAGCAGTCTGAGATCAAGGATTCTTGGGATTGGTTGGTGATGATACTTCGTTAGGAGTCGACACGTCTTCATCCTGAGTGTAGATGTTAAAGGAATATGGTGGCTCACCACTAGTTGGACTAGGAATAATCGTTGAGGACATCGTACGAGGTACATCGTAATCAGACGGGACCTTCCTTGTCGAATTATCACCTTGAGAGACTGGTACATCGTACTCAGATGGGACAGCCCTCGTTGAATTATCTCGATGTGGAAGTGGTGACGGGATGCTGGTCGATATTGGGCGAGGCGGCTCCTTGTCCAGATAGATCTTTGTTGAGTAAGGGCCATCTAAATTGAATGGATTCTGTGCACTTTTAACACTCGTTGGGTCCGAAGAGTAGTCGTTTTCCTTTACAGGATGGGCATCCGTTACATCAGGATCTCTTGCGAATTCATAAGGGTTCTCGAATTGTGCTTCTTGACCATTATTATGAAGATAGCCTCCTGTAGCGTAGGGGTTCTCCTTCTCGAAGTCATCTTTCGTGTCTTTCGGGTTGGTGGATAACGCACAGGCCCCACGAACCTCAGTCCCATCGATGTCAGAGTAAATGTTGTTTGTGAAGGTCATGGACATGTTGGGATCGTCTAACTTACCCTTTGGTGGAAGGGGTGGGCCTGCTGTAGCACCGAGTGTCGTTGGTATGCTGATACTATCCGTGTGTGGATTGGCGAACACTGGCGGTTCATCATCCATAAATTTATCTCTCCTATCCCTAAACAAAAATCATAAAAAAAATTGGTATATATATTCTTATAATTTCCATGTAAAATAAATTAAGTCAGATTTCCACAAATCAGCGGTTGAAGGCAGTGTCTCCTCAGAATGCATAATCTCCCTAAAAAAAACTGTTCTTTATCTCTTCTTTTTATGTATTCTAAATTCACAGCCAAATGATTCAATACAAGTTTAACATGAAACGGCTTAAATTAAGGAATGAATTACCCCAGTGCCATGTTTGCATGGCACTGGGATTAAGAAAAAATAATGTACTTTTTGGCATACACACTTTCAAAAAATGATCTTTATTTCTTCCTTCTCACAATAAACAGAAGGTTTAGTTTTGGGGAGAGGCGAAAATATTTGGGAGTGTTATCATTTTTATTATGCAAGTGTGGAAGAACATCAGAGAGAAAATGTCCATGAAAAGCATAACTCTTCAATTCCCTTCATATTTTAAATATGACAAGTAACAGCTTTAATATGCCACATGTTTGTACAGTGCGTCCCAGAAAAAACGAAACCGAGAAGTATCGATCTTTTATCATAACTTTATCGATTCCCCACCGTTTCTTTCACAATGCAATCGCATGACCAGAACTCAACTTTATCTTTAAGTCTGTTGAAGTAATTCAGGCATATTTCAACAGAGGTATGAAAAAATATCACAAACTGCGCAAATATACTTCATGGATTATCTATGAATTTAACATACCTACGAACTTTGTAAAAACCTGCTGCTGTCAAGATGATTACGATGATTATTCCGATCAGCACGATGTACCAGTAAGTGAAGCCTCCTCCCTGAAAATAAATTAAATAAATTTTCTTTTGGTTGACTCCCATCAATTGACTATAAGTAAAAGATAACGCTAAAAGTAATTGGTGAAAGTAATCATAATGTCATGTTTATAATGATTTATCGTCAGCGCATGTCCCACTTCCATTTTTCTTCTTAAAGAGTGGGGATAATTTGCACTATGACAACAACAAAGAAAGGTCTTACATATACCGGTGCACATCAACGTGATCAAACATATTCAAGATTTTAAATCTCAATTACTATTTACTTGCCATGGTCAATTAACAAAACGCAGTAATTGCATGCCACTTGTATACATTACGCAAATCAGATACCTCTTGTAAATTTGTAATCAAGTATTTAAAAAAAAAATGAGAGATAGAAAAAAACTGAATCAGATTTAGGGTTAATAGTATCGATATTACAAAAGAAGGGAAATACACATTCTTGAAATAAGGAAACTCGTTTTCTCACCTGACCTGTTCCCGTCTGAAGCCCTGAAACTGCAATAAAATGTTTTAAAAAGAATTGCTTAGGGTCATTTTTGTTCAGAGGTTAGTCATCCAACAAACTACCGAACTAAGATTGATTTTCTGATCTGATTAATGCACTTCATGTATAAACCAGAATTACACTTACTGTCAATTTGAGATCCGCATAGACTTTAGTGATATGATATTTCAAACATTCATAACTTTGTTATTATACATTCTGGTCCGATTTATTTCAAACTTTTGCCATCTGTTTATCTATTGTTCTACTTTCATACAAATTAACTTATTGTAACGGTTGGATTGCCCTTTAAATATAAACATAATATACTCAGTCATCTGTCATCATTAATTCAATTTTGTGTAATATACATGGCGATCGTAAATGAACAGCCGATCTAAATTTAATAAATCAAATAACATATCCACAATCCTCTATCATTTCCCATTTTTAATGAATGCTTCATAACTTTCTTATAATTTGGATTAATTTATCTCCGTATACCCCTCTGACGTGTCTAACTCCACAATACCATTTGAAAGATCTGTTCAATTAACCATACTCACGATGTTCACAGTTGGTTCCTGCATAATCTTCCGGGCATTGGCAAATGTAATAGACGGACCCATTCTCCGCAGTTAGTACTTGGCAGCTTCCATCGTTCTGGCATTGGCTTGACAAACATAGCTCTGTGGGAGTCTCACAAAGCTCGCCTGAAAAGTGATCTGAACATACACACCTGAAAAGAAGACAGCGCAGGAATGGTACATGGAATGTTATAACAATTTTATGATGGCAAAAATGTATGTCGAAAGGTAATAGTAAATGTCGTACATAATATACATAATATGTATGTAGACCTACATACTCAAAATATATTATCACGACACGAAAACATAGGCTCCACGAACCGAATAGAGAAGTCAATATCTGATTCCGTTACCAAGGAAAATATAGCTTTAGTGATAATCAGAAACTAGTTGCGTCACCATAAACATGGTCAATACATATATTGTCTTAGAATGTTGAGTTTGAGACAACATTTTCGCCTTTTAAAACAAAATAGATTACTCCAATAGCTGTAAAAGGAATCTATTATGGGGTCATGGAATTGGAGATTAATTCACCATATTAAAGTTATCTTTTGGCGTTTCAAAGCTAACAAACATTGCGGGTAGGTGGCGTAGTTTAAAAAGTATTACAGTAGCAAATGAGAGCAATTTAACATGTATCCTCAGCAGTTTATAATTCACCCATATGCACTAGCTTGACCCAAGCGACTTACTGGTAGCTACCATCGATGATCTGGCATGATCCTTCATTATAGCACACGCTGGTACGACACATTCCTGGAATGGGAGTCGGTTCCGGAGGTTTGGTGTTGCAATCGTAACTCCCATTTACATTGGCACAGATCTTGTTGGATGGACAAGCTTGTTCATCCTGGCATTCATCAATGTCGATTTCACATAGTTGACCTCGGTATCCCGTCGACGCACATTGGCACGTGAAACTGTCAAGACTGTCCTCACACCTTCCGCCATTCTGACATGGAGAGCTTGAACACTCATCAATCTCAGTGTCACAGTAGATACCGGTATACCCTGACATGCAACTACATGTGTAGTTATTCACTCCGTCTTGACAAGTTGAATTTTTCTGGCACATGTTATCCACACATTCGTTTATGTTCACTGTACAGTTCTCTCCAGAGTAGCCAGCCCAACAGTCGCAGGTGTATCGTCCGACTTGATCTGTGCAGTTACCATAAGAACAAGGATCGGGATCGCACTCATTGACATCCTCCTCACAGTTCTCACTTTGAAAGCCAGCTCGGCATACACAAACATATCCGCCAACCATATCTACGCATGACGCGTTGTTCTGACATGGGCTGGATGCACACTCATCTCGAATATCTAACTCACAGTATGTTCCTCCATACCCCTCTGTGCAATTACACGTAAAGTCATTAACACCATCTTGACAGGTGCCATTATTCAGACAGTCCACTCCGATACATTCATCGATATCTGCATCACAGAAAACACCGTTGTAACCTGGAGCACAGGCACACTCCAGGACGCCATAGTCATTTTCACCCAGGCATGTTGCACCATTTTGACAGGGGTCAGAGTTACAGAAGTCGATCTCGAAATCACAATTGGCACCGCTATACTCTCTTGGACAATCACATTGATAAAGGTTGAGTTTATTCTCGCACGTGCCTCCGTGTTCACAGGGGTCTGAAGAACACTCGTCTATGTCGTCGCAGTTCTTACCTGTAAAATTAATTTTGAAAGCATTTTGAGTACGTAGAATATCGTACCTGATATTCATTATTTTCTAGTTTTTTTGTTTTTCTTCTCCTTCATATTTTTGAAATATCAAGATATGTATTGTGAAATTAAAAAGCACGTACGTGCTAAACTAAAAGTGTATAAATGATCAACTATTACCTCGTGTACCAGCTGGGCAGTTACAGCTATAATCAGCCAAGAGATCCGTACAGACTGCGTTGAACTGACAAGGATCTGAGTCACATTCATTGATCTCCTGTTAATGAAATAAAGAAGAAGATTGAATTAATTGATTACCATTACTTGGTAACAAACTGCCCACCACTGACCACTGTCTCGAGAAACATGATCAACGTACACATTTTGAGCGGAGATTCTCTAGCGGAATAAGGGAAATGTTTGAATATTAGGCCAGACTACTAAATGTTCTTACACAAATGATCCAAAGCAACTTTACTAAGGCGCCCTCATGCTTCGCTGATTTGAATTCCAAGTACGATTAGGGAGGCCCTGGTACGACACTGAGCTAGCTCAGAAAAGCACTCGAAGAACAACTTGGGACGTCGGGCCTAGTATGTAAAATATATAAAATCTATTTATTATTATTATCTGTATGTTTTTTTGTTTTTAATACTTCGTTCTTTTAGTCACTGACAATCTTCGTCACTAAATCTGTTCTTACGGGGATTGGCTCATTTTATTTAATCGAAAAGTCGATGCTTAGTGCCCTTTGGTAAGGCATTAATCCTCATCACCAGGTCCCCTCGGAGAGGACCTAAAGCCGTCGGCCGTCTGGTTGCTTACTTACAAGCATTTATGCTTTCTTAGCAGTCAGGTAAAATAACCACCACCACATTCAACATAAAAATAAAAAACACGCCAGGCCGCCAATGCGAATGTCGAGTACACACTAAAAAGCCAGACAAATCGTTAGCTCTACACACGTACACCATCAACCATTCAAACCCTTATCCAAATGAATATGTTCAAATCATGGCTTACTATATTGCAGTAAGATCCTTGCCATCCTGAGTGACAAACCCTAGCTCCCGTAATATCGTTACAATTATAGTGGCCTTCACTGTTGTCTCTCGCTAAACAATATATGTTACAGCCTGATGACGTTCCGTAGTAATGCACATCGCAGTAAACCTTCACTGCAACGCTCGTTCTAACAAACAAAATAAAAAGAACACACATTAATAATGCTGTTACTTTTGTGAATATCAGTTCTTAAGAATTATGTTTTGTTCTTTATATTTAGAGATAGCACATAAATTAAACTGATTACAAATACCGTAAACATAATCATAATGTATCATGTATTACGTGCAGCTGGATTTTGAATTATCCTTTTAACCAAATAAACCTTTTCAAAAACGTGAATTTCATTAAAAATGTACATAGATCCAAAGCTCATGTGTTACTACTTGTTACTCTTGTTTGGATGTTTTTAGTACATTTGCTTGATCATGGGCAGATGAATGACAATTCCTCTGTAGACTTCTCTTTTGATTGTACATGCAATGTCAATGTGATCTTCAAAATATACACTGAACCGTTAATAGCACATCAGCATCTTCATCAGATTTCAAGAACGCAGTGTACTTTGCAGTTGAGAACTAAACTATTATTAAAGAGCTCCGAATCCAAATTGAAATCCTACTTTTTTTACAGGACTGCTCGGCATGAGAATATGACATTCAATTGAACTCTTAACTTTTTATTCCCTTGTGCACCTTGGAATAGAAGTTCTAGAAAGATGGCGCTATAAGAATGCCTAGTAGATGAACTCACGATTAATATCAAAGACGAATACAGTTAGTACAAGTTGAATTAACTTACAGAGATGTTCCTGCTCCATGCAGTGACACAATGTGTTCTGTTGCCAAAGCTGATGTTCGATCGGGGATATAGTTGTAATTGTAGCCGTAATAATCTATTTTGTCGTCTGCAGTTGTTGGATCATAATCCCAAACCTCAATCTTGAACCTGAGTCCAGTCTACGGAAGATACAAAATTAACAGATTGAATATAGACAACAACCGTGTATAAGCAGACTGGGCTTAAGCCCCCCCCCCCCCACCCCCGAAACTTCAATCACGAATATTAGCGAGATTGGCTAGAAATGTATTTTTATTTCAAGTTTATTGCACGTGATGGCTAAGTCTTTCTTACCATGATTAAGTTTATTGCTTTTTCTACTCACCCCTTCGTATTCTCGCAAGATTTTGAAACAGGAAATTTTATATCCGGGCTACCCCCGCCCCCCTCCCCCGTGGCGAAAATGACACAAGAGCTCATGCCTGTGCACATGGTACATGTACAATAATTATGTTGATTATCATAAATGCACATGCAAACATTCGTATCGAGCTAAGTCTTATTTAGAAGACTTTACAAAAGAGCGATGTAAAAAGTGGTAGGATAAGAGAGAGAAAGAGAGAGAAAATTTTAAAAAAAATACAGGTAACGTATTCAAATGGTTTATTCATTAAAAGCACTTAACTTGAAATGCAAAAGTGGAAGGTTCGATCTCTCGACACGGCACTAATATCCTTTGGCAAGGCATTAATCTACATTTGCCTGTCCGTACCCAGAAGAGAAAGGGGAACCTGGTAAGATGGCATATGGCCTCTCGGTGATCAAATGGTAAGAAAAACTTCCCAGGGAGTGGAGATGTGCGCAAATCCATATTATTATCATTATTATTATTATTTATAATCACTTTAATTTTTTTTAAAGACGTACTCACCGACCATGAATTGATAATCAATACAATTGGGTTGACTAGATCGTCGGCTAGAATTGACGGGAAGCTGAAATCATCATTGTTTTCATAGAGGCGGTCCGTTTGGAAGTTGCCATATGCACAATCGGTCATATAATTATTCCTGAATAAAGGAAGATATTACACGGGATGAAGGCTAAATATGTGAAGAATATGCAGTGACATGGCAAAACTTGATCAATACAATTCCAGTGATAAAAGCAACGGCATTTTAGACTGTAATACACGGTTGTCGATGAACATTATGAATTGGTTAAATGTGTATACATATTAATATGTATGAGCTCAGTTATATGCTGTGATACATTATTCAACATGAACTGAGAAAGACTTTGGGCTATAAAAGCAAATAATTTTCTTGATTCTATATTGAAGAGATAGTTGACTTCTTGTTTCAGACCGCAAATGCCTTCAAAGTGCGTGGTTATTACACCTATTCTTAATTATGACATTTATAGTGCCCTTTTCGGATCTACAATTGCTATGAAGGTATTTTGAGACCCCAAAATGTGTGAAATTTAGCCAATAAGATCATACCAATTCCGCTGTACTTCCAAAAAATACGGTGACCGTTAATTAATTAATTAATTTATAATAACAATACTTGGGCCGCCTGGTTGTGCGTATTATAACCAACAGAATAAAGCCAACAAGAAGTCAACATTGGCATTGGCTGGAATAAAACGTATAAGGCACTATTTCGTTTTTTCAACGGCTGGTTCAAATTATCTAATACTTGTGGTACGTGGTACACAAATATTAGAATGGTTATATTTTTGGGTATTTTAGCCGTCTCTGAACCGATTTTGATCAAACAAAGATGATTTTGTCATTAAAATTGTATGTTCTTTCAAATGTGGCACTCAGTTTTTCATTATCTCCCCAAAAATATTTTGTGTAGCACCCTCTGCAACAGGACTCAACTATCCCTATCTTCAATAAAGGGTTTTCTATTCTGTCTGATAAGTCTTAAAGATATTAATTCAATCACTCATCACCATCATCATCGTTATAATAAACCCATCGACAAAAGTTATCGGTTAAAAACAAGGTTTCTTCACTGAGAAATTTGGTACTGTTTTCGTTTATATTGACGCACTTGGAAATATCTTCTTTTTGATAACTTGTACGAAATTTTAATTTTCTTTCGATTTAAAAAGGTGTTTGGATGACATTGGGATTTATTTGTTGACTACTATATCTATGAGACAGTAATGAATGCCATCGGGGATCTTCTTACCCTCCGTAGACATCGAAGCAGAGATTGAATCTGTTGTCGCAACTATCACAACCGAAGAGGCCGGGGTCGCAACATCCCCCGTCAAGTTCTATGTGACCGGTGTTTTCGAAGTCTACCAATCTGTATGACACTTTCACTCTGCCATGGATCTGTGGTGTGGGAGAACAGATAATGGCATAATTGTACACATAAAATAAAATCGGTTGTAAACACACACACACACAAAATCCAAACTGATATAACATTACAGATTCGACTCTCGAGGTTCATCATAACTTTATTTACTTGACTTTTTTTATTTCTGATATTTATACAGGGTGGCACATAATACCAATTTGGTGGTCTTCCATGAGGCCCTGTTTGGTAAGAATTTAAAAAAAAAGGTATGTACACAAGAAAATTAACAGGTAAAATACAAATTAATTCGTATCCTCATGAAATAACTGATCATTCAATAACTATCCTTGATAATTTACATTGAAAAAAAAAGAGAATTAGGAATAAATAATAAACACGTAGCCTATTTAAAAGAAGTAAAACATAATTAAAAGACGTACATTTTTTAGAATTTGATATGAGCTTAACACGCGGGATACCATACTTTTTATATCCATATTTACGTTCAATTGCTCTGTAATTAATACATTTAGGTTGTTTACAAGTTCGCTGAAAATGGCATTGCATGTATGAATACATGATATAACGATAACCATGTCAACCAAATTTAATAATTGTGTAGATATGAAAATTGGTAAGCTTCGCACGAATCCCCCTCACTTACACGTCATCTGCAGATAACAGGGTTTTTGTAGTGTGTTTAAAACTTTTCAAAGTAGGTGACGTCTTGATAAAAGCTTTCAACTTGGTTCCGTACTCTAATTCCAGAAATTAGAGGAATATTTTTATATGTGTCCGTCCTGAAATGTATAGTTTTATAGTTGTGTACGAGGCGAGAGGGTGAGGGCTAGCGAGGGAGGCGGTTGGAGAGTTTGCAGTTCCTCCCCCTGCCTATAATCCGCTAAATAATTAAAAATATTAATATTCGAGAAATCGTTGTGGGGCGATATTCACCTTATTGGGCAAATATTTCCTTTTTTGCTCCTCGCACGCGAATTCTCAAAAGAAGTGAATATCCTGGCAAAAGATGTCAGCACCGGTGACAAAATTGTGCCTGTATGGCTTTGCAGAATCGACAACCTCTGAATTTCTAAATATTTGTTCGTTGAAGTAAAATGTTTCCAAATTAGGAATTCCATGTATAAAGCAGTTGGAGAAAATGAGACCACGCGTGCCATGAACAACAATGAATGATTTATCATCGTCTGTTCACAACTGGTGAATCATTATCGACTGGAACATTTGCTAGAAACTTTGAAAGCAGGGATCGGAACACTTGATTCTTGCATGACCCTAAATCCGGTTATCAAAGTTTCTTTTATTGAACTTGTACAAACAATTTTGTGGCAGTAGTTCTTGTACCACATTAGTCAATTTGGTTTGTTGTTCCTTTATTTCTTCCCGTTTCTTTCGAGCCTGTTTAATAATCTGTTTCTGTTTAAACAATGCAATCCAAAGGGAATGCATTGCTGACGGGGGGGGGGGGGTAATATCTTGGTTTGTACATTTTCGTTTCGTTTCGTTCTTTTAATACTTATTTTCTTGTTTGTTTGTTTAATATTTGTATGTTATGATATGTGTTATCTTATAATTGTACATTTATTTTATGTATTGCGCATGGACCTCCAGAAGAACAGCCTTTGGCTGAAGTTGGTACCGTGCAAAAATAAAATAAACTGAACTGAACTGAACTGGCAGACCGGTAGATGAAGCGACCGCGTTTCCTAGGCCTAAACATAAAACAAACCTGTTAAAGGCCAAGTCCACTCAAAAATAATTTGCTTTTAATAGATGCAGAAAAAGAAGAAAGAGAGCAAAACAAATTTGAGTAAAAATCGAATAACTAATAAGGAAGTTATGAATTTTTGAAAAAGTATGAAAAAGTATGGAACCTGGAAATCACTACACAATTTGCCTATTTGGTTATTAGTTTGTGACGTCATTGCTTCATTATTTATCAATTGCTTTATATATTTTTATCCCATTAATTTCCCTTTTTATCCCCCCAAAACCTGATTTCCCCATGCCTTTGCCCAGGTTATACGATTTGTATCATATTGCGTGCATGACATTTCACCTGAGACAAATTAAGGATTTGAAAATGATCTTATTGTAATTGAATTATATTGCATACCTGTTCTACTTATCTGGAAAAATAGATACAACGTGCAACTGAGACGATTATCATAAACATACAAAATATTAAAATGATAGTTGTGGACCTCCTTTCATGAAAGAAGCTTGTTAAGGGGATTAACAACCTACTGATGAATGATACAAGTAGAACATAGAGGCGTATCTAGGATTTGAGGAGGCGGTTATCTTTAACTTGCTCAAGTCAATAAGCTTAAACCCCACAGCCCTTCCAATAGTCCGCATATAAAAACAAAATTTAGATCATGATGACATTCCATAAGAACATGATTAGATACGAATATATTATACAAGTATACTTCCTCATTTATTAACGATTTGACATTGGCTCAAAGGCACACATGGCATGCAATAATACCATCATAATTACGAAGACTATTGGAGCTGGTACCGAATCTTGAAATGACTCGGTAACATTGCCTCATATTCTGAAACAAAATCCTGGATTTGGCTCATGCTGCAATCATTATTATAAATCTTTAGGTCAGTCAGGAATCCCATGACTCAGTTTGCAAGCCGATTGCCTGTCTTATTTCCAAGATTTTATGACTGGAAATCGGATTTTTACGTTTTCCTAACGGTTTCTATAACACTACAGTCGATTGGGGGAAATGAGTATGGTGAAACCGGTCACTAAAATTTGTTTACTTTTTTGAGGCACTATATGATTATTTTGAAGGGTTTTAGGGCTTCAATGTTAATCATATTACATACACTGATAACACGTAGGGTCGTGCATCTCCGATTTAACATTGTTAAACGATGCCTTTAAAAGGAGTTTAGAATCCATTTGTTAATCATCTCCACTGCTTACACCAATCTTTCACTTGTTACTCATTTGCACATAATGACCACACAAGTTCACAATAATCAAGGACGAGTACTGACAGGTAGGTCGTATTGTCAGAAATAAAACGTTACAGATATGAAAACAAATTGCAAAATTACTCTGTGGTGTAAAATAAAACGGATTTTTGGGGAACAAGTTTGATGAACAATGGCTTAAGTTATAATTGATATTATTACTCCGTCATATTAGAAAACAATCTAATTATTGAATGAACACAAAAATGTGTTCTTGGAAAGCGGATGCAGTGTGTTTGTAAAAACCGAACCTCATAGCAACATATAATAACTTTTTAGTCAAAAGTACATCCAAATAGTACAGCTCATACAATATGACATCTTGGTGTATGGTGACGAGCAAAGGTAATTTTGTTTGCTTAGAACTTGTATGATGTGAGGCTTAAATGGATGTTGGTATAGTAGGTAACACTGTGGGCGAGTTTCTTGATCGTTCTTTTATATTTTTCCTCCAAACGTTTGCATAATAACTGAAGCAGGTTTACATCAAGACATGGAGAAATGAACGATTGGCAGACACATGGGCTTGTCTGAACTTGCAGCTCATCACACAAATCAGCCGAATCCAGGTTAATCAAATGTTTAGAAAGATTTTATGAATCATATAAAAGGGAGTAACGATCCTGAAACTGATCAAAGTCTAGTTTGGTCAATAAAATACAACTTCCAGACTACCCTAACGATTCTTGAGATGAATACTATCTATGAGAAGAAGGTTGTCTCATGCATTCGATGGTTTTGCCCTCACCAGTAACACGCAGGTGACCTACCTGGACGTCTTACCTACTGTCAAAGGCTACTTTAACCAAAGTGTACACAGCTGGAGTTTCTCTCACCCTTTTTTTGTGACATGTAAACATAATGTAAATATAATATTGAAATTCAACAAATTTTCGAATTATCATTTACTTTGCGGTGTATACTTCAACTTGAAACGATGAGCATGGTTTTGTCAAGGCACTGGTAATGGAAGTTATGATGAAGACAAATTTAATATTCATCCACTCCTTAATGATTAATATTCATATCTGGAAAGTATTCTTAAAGCACAAGCACAGTTTTTAAAGACGAGAAAAATATTGATATTGAGTAAAATTTAATGATGTTAGCGCCTAACATATGCAAATACAGGCGATATAGTCAAAAGAAAAACCTACTGCTCCTGCTCTTCTAGCCTCTTGTCGATGGCCCTCGCGCTGTTGGAGTCCGTAAATTCTGGCTAAATTCTGGTCCAACAGCGCGAGGGCCATCGACAAGAGGCTACTGCTCTCCCTGCTCCTCATGCTCATCCCGCTCCTCCTCTTCATCATCGTCATCATCATCACCATCATCATCATCATCATCATCACCATCTCCATCATCATATCACCATCATTATCATCATTGAAATGGAAACATAATCACCAATTTAAGGTGTTGCAACTTATCTTTTCCATACAAACATTATTTTACATTCGGCCATAATTCAAGGATGCAACAAAATGTTAAAGGTATAGACCAGTTCCAGTCGTGCGATTGCATTGTGAAACAAATGTTGTGAAATCGATGAGAAAAGGTTGATCATCTAGCATATACGTATTGGTGTGTACTGCAAGGTTCTAGAATCATCAACATGATGAGAAATTGGGCCTCGTCTTGGTAAAGTTATAAGCACCTGTACACAGAACGATGTATATGGGGCTACGCGATATCTATCCAGGTCGGATCGATATGATAATTTACCAAATATATCAATTAGTAGTCGGTTTCCCGGCAAAATTCGTATCATCACGTATTAGTCAAAACATATTCTATCACATGATTGGTAATAAGAGCTTCCATTTCATTTTTGGGAGGGGGGGGGGGGCGTTTCCAAAACTGGTCCATACCTTTAATGAAGAATCGACCATTCACCTAAGACTAAACAAGACAAAACAATGCAAGCAAATAAGGTATGCAAATATACTACTACATCAAATAATACAACGTAAATATGTCTTCATCAGTGAAGAAAAAAATTCATGATTCTCACTCA